GTAGATTTGAGTGAGTATGTTCATAAAGTAAATAGGTCCAAACAAAGGCGAAGTTAGAAATCATGTTTACAAAAAAAAAATAAAAAAGCATTCTTCTGATGTTCAAACCATACCAAGTTCACCCTTAATCCTTATGTCAACTTATCATTACCCTTTTTTTTTTGGTCTCCATCTTAACAAAACATAGTTCTTGACCTGTCTCAAGCATCTTAAATATAAGATACTGAGCCAAAATAAACCTTAATAATGCGAATGTGGAATACAAATCAGTGAAAACCTTTCTTTGTGTGTCCTGATTTCAATTAAAATCTGTATTATTATTTCATACTGCATAATATAATGTATTTTACAACTTGGGAACGAAATTGGTTATGGTATTTAGAATTTCCAGAGTTTGAGCACCCACTTCTCACTACCCAATAACACCTCCTTTTATTATCCTGAATCCTATCGATTCTTGCCCACCGGAACTCTTCGACAACATGGAGAAACCAAACGTTCCCCAACCTCTCTATTCATCCAAGGGATGGGCAGAGACCTTTGGTTCCCCTCCGTCCAAGAATTGGGGTCTCACACTAACGATAATCTTACATAGTGTAAATTCACCTAAATGAAGTGTTAAGATCTTTGTTCAAATCTTTTGGTCGAGTAGAACCTTTAAGTTGACTGCTTTAAGTAACTTAAAATAATATGGTAGTGCAGGTGTCTTTCCTTGTCTGAAAATGTTAGGCTTTGCTCGTTCTTTCTTGTTTTTTTGTGCTCAAGAGCCATTTGGATGTAGTAGGTAGTAGTTACTTGTCCAACATCAATGATCATGAAAAAATTGTGGAGCAAATTAAAAGTGGACAAAAACAAATTAAGTTCCACTTCGCCTTGGTAGATCAATTTTGATGTCATTTTTTCCATAAGACGCTGTATTAGGTAGTTTCCACCAAATGCGATCCAAAGGTTACTTGAAAGTTTACCCCACCATCATTGGTGTTACACCAATAAATGTCATATATTTATGAAGAATCATGGATGCACTATGCTGGATGCTAATTTGTAATCAGAAGAACAGATTTATGATTTGCCATAAGAACTTGCTTTCCAGGTGTTGAGTAAACATGTTTTCTTGTTGCTCTTTAGGTATTTGGGCAGGAATGCGTACTGTTCGGTACTTTGATGGTAAAACTTATGAGTGGGTTGGTATCAGCAGGCAGCCAAACATCCTAAGCAAGGTATGTTTATTTGCAGCATATTTTCCTGTTCTTTAATTTATTGGCTATGTGAAATAGTGTTTTCAGTCTTGGGTTTTAGATTACAAACGAGCTATAGCTTATATTGGGGCCCCATAAGATGAATGGTCTGTACAAACTGGGCACGTACTGCATCTTTTTCCCTTTTCAGGTCAAAAGAACACTGGGACAATTTACACCTGCACGTTGGGACAAAGATGAATGGCACCCTCTTCTTGGTCCATTGCGATTTATTCAAGTTTTCAACCTTTGTATTGTTTTCTTGACTGTGGAACTTAATACGTTCTTCCTGAAGTTTTGTCTTTGGATTCCTCCTCGAAATCCCATCATAATATATAGGTTAATTTTGTGGTGGCTTATTGCAATACCAACCATTCGCGAATACAATTCTTACCTACAAGACAGGTATCTTCTTGAGTTTTGATACTCCATATGTTATGCAAGATTTTAATATTCCCATGAGACGATCTTCTCATGTTCTCTCGTTTTTGCTTGATTCCTGCTTTCAATTTTCAGAAAACCAGTGAAAAAGGTGGGAGCTTTTTGTTGGCTTTCGCTTGCTATCTGCATTGTGGAACTCCTCATTTGTATGAAGTTTGGACACGGTGTGTTTTCTTGCTTACTAATATTTATATATCAATGTTTAGGAATTATTAAATGTATTCTTCTTCGCCTTATTTAATCGTGTTTCAGGATTGTTTCCTAATTCCATGCCCAAGTGGTTGGTGATTTTCTGGACATCTGTTGGGATTGGACTCGTGATATTCTTGGCTACATGGTCATGGCAATTGCACAGATCAGTGCGGAGAAAGCGCCAATAAGTTCATATTTTTACCTTTGCTGTTCTTTTGATTCCTCATTTTCTGGGTACCAAACCTCGTTGTAAATACCCACCAAAGTTTTGAACTGTAAATGTTTGCTCTTTTAGGTTAGATGTTAGAAATTGATTCCTGTAGAGAAATTTCCGATTCTTTTTTTTCTCGTTAGATGCAATATAGATGGAATTTTTTTGGAGCATGGCGTGTTGAAAGCATTATTATCAGTTGCTTCTTACATGCAAATCTTTTTTCTGCACTTCAATCATTTATGATTATGATGATCGTTGAAAACAAGTCTACATATAATAGATCTTTTCGAGGATGTGGTCGTGCTTTTGCAAAGCGTTCAAAAAGAACAACTCCATGGTAGATGTGATGGTGATCTTAGTTGCATTGTTTTAATGGTGACATACATGGAATTTTGACTCGTATATATCCAAAATTTAGTATCGTCAACTTGAGTTTTTCCTAAATTTCATCGAACCCATTTTGTCATTTATCCATGCTAGTTGAAATATATTGCCTTTTTAATCATAAGCAGTATATATTTCAATATATAATGATGATAAGAAACTGTTTTATTTCTCTTTGATCACATATTTGATTGGTACACACTTGCTGACAGAACAATGCATCTACAAAATTTTCAAGGATTCCTATCTATACAAATATAATATGCCTCATTCCAAAAATCGCCATAAAATCCATGATTTTAGGCCATGCTGCAATTTTTACTTCCAATGAACTTGAATTTCAGCATGGGTGCGTTTATTTGTACGCATATTCTGCTTTCCACCTAGTCGATCTGAGGAGACCGAATAATATTTTTCTGAGTTTTAATGCCGGACTGGATTGGCGTATTTTTTTCTCTTGAATTTTTTTGAAGTTGCTAGGGAGAGAATGGGGAGGAAATGTGTTTCTTTTTCCATTCAGTTTTTCCTCTCACAATTTCTTCATTTTTTGAGTCCCCTTTTATCCGAAGGAGATGAGTGTAGCTAAATGGCCACTGATTTAAGGGTCCCCGTAATCCATTTCCCTCAAGAATCCCTGATGAAAATGAATATCCATTCAAACAATTGTAATTATTTTGTTGAATTCCAGCACTTATCAGTTCAACTTGTTGAGGCTCACAAAGGGATTGAACTACATCTGAACTCCCACATTCTCTTCTGTATTCCAATATAATGTTAGAGAGCTGGTGATTCCCCAAAAATTCATCAGGAATTGCGTGAAAAAATCAATGAAAATTCAAGATTCAGTTATCCTAGTTCGTTATTCAACAAAGTGAAGGTCAAGACAATTGTTTTTTTGTGTTCATCTCGAGCATCCATCGAACATACTCGACATCGTTTACATGATGGTTCATGTCCAAATCACTTCTTTTTGGCTGCAAATGACAAGGATGCGATATATCAGTAAATTATTCGTTATAATGAGGACATGCCAAATTTATTGCGATGAATTTCACCTTCAAGTCCGAGTTCACATAACGCGCTTTATGATCCAACTTATCTATTTTCTCAGGGCTTTCTTACTTGATTGCTTGTTTCTCAATGAACCATGGTGAAATTTCAGCTCTTACCTCATCACCCACGTACTGCTCCAGAATCAAATCCTTGGTTAAAAATGAGAACTAAGAGCATATTTATTTAAGGAGGTCTTGACATTATTGAAGATAAAAATAAGTTAAAATCATGTCTATTGTGTCCAACCTATCCAATATAGCATACCAAACATATCATAATGATGTTAACAGTTCATTAGGCCTCGAGATGAAGCCGGTTGAGCGTGCAAAAACAACGCCTGTGGCTTTACTTTGGAGTAGCCAGTCTTTCCTCATTCCGTTTTTCCCTGATGATCCAACCCATGTGTCTATCTCCATTACTTCACCCCCATTGTCACAGACAACATTTTTATGAGACAAATGTCTAAATTTAATCATTTTTACGTTAAAAATAAGAACGTCCAGTCCGTTTTCTATTGAATACCAGATTGGATATTGATCCACTTGAACTTGCATTCTTGAAACAACCCAAATGAGATTATTTCTCATCATTCCATGAGTGCTCCAAATCCATCACCAAGAAGCCCTGACATCCATACATGATTTAATGCCGTTTCCTGCACATTTTTTACAAATAAAGTGCCGTAAAACTTCTGCATGGAATATAAAAAGGAATTCCTGAAAATTCGAAAACAGGAAATTCGTCACCTGAAGCAGGTTGAGAATACTCTCAATTGTTGCAGAAGTAATAGCCAATCCATTTTGACTTAACAAATCCACGTTCGAAGGCAAAAAACTCTTAGTCCCATTGATTTACACAGGCCATTCTCAGTGAAGTGTGTAAAAAGTTGAAATTGTGCTTAGGTTAATCAGATGATTTTATAGCCATTTAGTGGCGGAGTCTGAGAGGACTAAAATACGCAAGATTTTAAAGGAGCAAAAAAAATGGAACTTTGTTCTAAATTTTGAAATTCTAAGGGAGCTCGATGTTTGTAGATTGATGATTTCCAAGAGCGGACGTGAGCTGTGGGATCCTGCTTGGCAGCAATCGACAATTTGAAAATTACAAAAACATTAGTATCAGAAGCCTCTTTTTTCCCCTGTAAATCAGGCTTGGCATTTTCGACAAGACAGTTTCGTTCTTTGGTATAAATGTAACTGTTTGACATGTTTTGTCTGAATTGAAAAGTTTTGAGGTTTTGCACGAGTTGGGGTTTTCACTAAAAATTCAACACAATTATTGAATTCATCTGTTTCCCATCTGCTCTCTCTTCATTTCCTTCACCCCTACAGATTACATGCAAGCAAAAATAATTCTCTTAACTGTCCTTGGCATTGACCACCAAGTGACAACCAACGTTACAATTATTCACCATCTACCTCGCAAGCAAATAATAACTTAATTTTTCATAGAAATTGGGGAAAATACCGATCCAACTTTCAGGCATCAAGATAGGTTTCAGGCGTGGATGAAACATATTCCTGTTCTTCAAAATCTGCAAGTGGTTTATCTTCGACTAGCTTGAAAAGCTGAAAACAATTCGCATAGATTCTCTTTCCTTTCCCCAGCCTGAGTACTCTAATGAACTGCAAAATCTTTACCTTCTTGGGAGCCTTAGTTCTCCAAATCTGGTTTCCAAGGGAAAACTCTCTTGATTCTATATGTAGGGTCCCACGAAATAGACTTGACAACGACCTGGGAGTCACATTGCAGTGCTTAGCATGTAGCACTTGTAATCATAGTTTCCCCGCGAGGATCAAAAGGTAGCTATAATAGATATAAAGAGCAGATATTTTATATCACAAAACACAAGGAAAAAAAAACGACTAAAAAATCTTGGGGATCAGCACAAGCCCGCATGTTGAAAAACCATACACATGTATGCCTTGTTTAAGGGACCATTTCAAGGGAACAAAAATGAAAATAGTGTTGGATGCAAAAACACATGTCAGATGTTTACAACCAAAAAGTTATCAAACATTTCAAAAAATGTGGTAAACAAATGTGTTGTGACTTTACAACGTGGAGACTTGCACTCCATTATGTATTAGAAGGTATTTTTTGAAAAATTTCTTTCAGAAAAATACGTCTTCAAATAATTTTTAAAGAAAGCATTCCCATGTGGCCCTCAATGGCACTAATCTTTTTCTTACAGACATCAGTCAGCATACACAGCCTTCTAGGAGATTACTCTCGTAAGCTGCCTCAAAAGATATACCGGAAGAAAATTTGAAAATAAGAAATAACAACATTTTGCAAGGGGGACTAGGGCCTGAAAAAGGTTAGTATACCTGCGAAAAATGGTCCAAAACACTAAGTAAAAATTGACAGCACCTAGAACAAGATATCCAAAATGAGTAGTCACAAAGAAGCTGTTGCCACTTGTCCAAGAAACCCAGAAAGCAACTCAAGAACCTGTTTCAAGTAATTTCTTCAGCACCATCTTTACCATCAAGAATCACGTATACAGGATCTTGGACTCCAGAGGAATTAAAAATATGCTCAGATGTCCAAATAGTGCATTATACACATTAGATTACACTATCAAGCATTTGTTCATACAATCTCAAAACCTGGTCAGAGTTCTCATTCATCGAATTGATTTATGTATTTATTTATGGATGTTCATTCATTGTGTCTCTGAACAATATCTATAAGCCTCATCCATTCTACTGAATTTGCAATGACTATTTATCGGATCATTATATGTAATCACATTTGCAAACTCCCTTCTGCTCCATATCTTATAAATATTGAAATGCTTGCTCCAGCCTCCTTTATGAGTTCGAGTATATATCAAAATGTGTATCACAGGATCACAGATGCAGGATACCAGCCTCAAAACAACTCCCTGGCTTTCCTAAGATACCAGTTTCCAAGTCACAGTGAATGGTGCGCTATTATATGCAATAGGAACCATAATGGACCATCTTCTATAAAATTCACAAGCTTCTTCTAAATGATCCAAATTACAGATCCCATCCACAAAAACATTATACATTAGTAGCATTTCTTCTTGTAACAAGAATGGTGTAGAAGTTGTGCAAGTTACTTACCAAGCTACAGCTCACCTGTAATGCAAGTTGTGCATGCAAGCCGGTCAGGCTCCACCCCTTTGCTCACCATCTCATCAAATACTTTCTTTGCCATCAGTAAGTTTCCTGCCTTATAAGAGCCTTCTATGAGAATTGTATAGCTAAAAGCATCAGGAAAAATGCCATAATCGGTCATTTCATCTTTCAGACGCAAAGCACCATCTAAATCCCCATGTTTGCACAGTCCATCCATCATTGTATTAAAGGTAACCAAAGTAGGGTTGACATTCCTTCTCCTCATCTCAAACAACAAGAACAAAGCCTCAGTAATATCCCCCAACTGACAGTGTCCATTTATCAGAGTGTTGTATGTAACTACATCAGGCACCAAGCTCTTCTTCAGCATCACAGGAATCCACTGCCTGGCATCACTCACTCTCCCTAGCTTGCAGAAGCCATGTATAAATGCATTGTAAGTCGATATAGACGGCAAGGCTCCTCTAACTTCCATCTCTTCCCTAAGCCCTAGTGCCTCAATAAGCATTCCCTTCTGACAATAACCACATATAAGGGGGTTATACGTATAAGCTGAAACCTTCAACCCTTTATTCAACATCTCCCCAATCAGCTCTTTGGCCTTATCAAACTCACCTTTCTTTGACAGCCCATTAATCAGCACATTATATGTAACATCATTCGGACGGAAATCCCTCCTCTGCATCTCCAGCAAAAGGTCAACTGCATGCTGCACTTCACCTTTTTTACAAAATAAATCCAACATCGTGTTGTAGGTTACAATAGTAGACTTGATCCCAATATCCCCCATCATCCCATACACTTCTCTAGCGTTCCCAACCAAATTTCTATCCCTAAGTATCCTAAGAATTCTGTTACAATTCTTCACATCTGGCAAAAACCTACTCCTCACCATCTTATCAAAAACAACTAAACAATGCTTAAGATCAGATTTTTTCGAGTAAACCCACAATAATAAATCAAGTAACTTAACGGAGACATCATATTTCAAGTATCCATCAACCAATACATCGGCAACACAGTGCAAATTCACACTTATGGCCCTCTCGGCCACCCAATAAGCAGATGTCATCATATCGTTCTGCACAAGAATTTCAAGAACCGTACAAAATACAAATTCTGAATGCTTAAACCCCTTTTGCACCTCAGCCCATCTGAACAAACCGAGCACCACACTTGGTCGATGGTGAATGGACTTTATAACATTTATAAACAATTCAGAATCAATTATCAAAGCATTAAAATAATGGGGAACGTCCCAATAAGTGTTTTTAAATGCCCTGGGATTTTCTATTAATGTTTTCAAGATTAGGTTTTTGAAATGCCTATCTAGGCATATTTTACTTCTACTGTTTGTACATACGTATTCACCATTGCTATTGTAGTTGTTCTTGAATTCTGAGGGGCAGTAAGAATGTTGTGTACGAGAAAAGAAAAAACTTAAGCGTACCTTGAAAATGGAATTAAGAAAGTAAGAATAGTAAAAGGGAGTGGACTTTTTAGTGGGTACGAGAGATTTTGAGCGTAGTATACAAAGGGTCATTTTCTAGGTGACAGAATTTTCTGGAGAAGAGAAGGAGATGGTACAAAGCACATCTCGTAGAGGCACAGAGCCACGTACACGAGACAACCAGCGAACGGCAACAGCACGCGGTTGCTTTACTTTTAGTAGCAATAAAATATTTCAAAAATCTGCCCTCGACTCTGGAAAAAAAAATAATAGAAGGTCCTTCAAGTTGGGTTAGGTCTGTTTTGAGCCGAATCCAACACCAAAACCGACCAAATTTGACACTGAAATCGAACCAATCCAAAAATTTTGTCCAAAACCGGTTTGGGTCTGTGATATGGCTTCCCCCAAAAATTTAGAATGGGAATTACAGAGGCAGCATTAGAAAATTGAACAAAATTGAAGAAAAGTGAGAATCAAATTCATTGCAAGTGAATTCAACATTAATTTAAGTCCGAGTAACAATTAACAGGGATAAATATAGCAAAAGAATATGATATTAGGAAAATCATAAACAACACTTAATTGAGAGGAACTGGGCTGGTAGTCGCCGGAGACGGCGACGGAGAGAGATGGAGAGTGGGAAGGGTTCATACGCAAGAAACGGGCAGGCTCATATTTTTGTTTGAGAGAGATTGCTACGAGGGCTCATACCTGCAAACGACAGAAAGAAACCGTATTTCATATTTGGCCTTTTACCGTTAAATATATTAAAAAAAAAAAAGAAAAATTTTAAGTACAATTCTTTAATTTAACGTTCTTAATTAAACCGTATGTCATATTTGGCCTTTTTTTTCTTTTAATTCTTTATTTAATTTAACGTTCTTAATTAAATATTCATTGTAAACAAATCTTTATTTTTTTTAAAATTTAATTAAATAATATTTATATTGTTTATTTAATTTCAATAATTTCCTTTTGTTTGAATTTTTTATCTATTTAATTAATTAATTAATTTAAAATTGATAATTACTAAAATTAATTTTTTAATTATTAAAATTAAATAAAGAATCTAGCGGTGGCAACTAGTCGAGCCCGAGCCGGGAAAAAAAAGTTCAGGCCGAGCCCGAGCTTTTTTGGACCGAGCTTTTTTTGGCCCGAGCCGAATCGGGTCCGGCCATGAAAAATGAGGCTCGGCCCGAGCTTTAGGCCCGAGCCTTAACGGGCCGAGTCGAGCCCGGGCCGAGCCGGCTCGGGTTTTTTTTTTGTGTGTGTGTGTGTAAAATCTACATTAAAACAAAAAAAAAATATACATTTTATGCGTAATACGTGTTATAAATTAAAGAGATTATGAAAGCTTCATTTTTATTTAAAGTATGTAACTATTATTTCTTGTAATGTCATGGTGAAACTTCCTTGAGGGTCGTAATTCCAATAATTCAAGGCAATAACTATTCTATTTATCACTGAAGAATAAAACTCTCCTCCTTTATCCGGGTTTGGGACCGGCTACAATTATCGGTGGCGGAGTTAAAATTGTACACGAATAAAATATTTCGTGTACAATTTTTTTTGAAACAAAAAAAAATTAAAAATTACGTATTGAATTGAAACTAAACAATTTAAAAATTTACAATATCTTATGCTTTAATCTGCTGTAACTCATCGGCCATGATACTATCAACTTGTTCTTGAAGACGTAATTCCGCACATTCCCA